ATCTATTCATCCATCTATTCATCCATCTATTCCATCCAACCATCCATCCATCCGTCCATCCATCCCATCCATCCGTCCATCCCACCCACCCACCTGTCCATCATTCCTCAATGCGTGGGTGGGAAGAAAGAGAGGGAGGGAGGGAGGGAGGGTGGGAGAGAGAGATGTGGGTTTCTGACAGCTTGCCACCTGAATTATGGGTCCTCCATCACTGGAGGATCTAAAAAATAGATTGGACAGCCGTTTGATCCAGATGGTCTCTTGCCTTAAGCAGCGGGCTTGATTAGAAGACCTCTGGAGGCCCCTTCCAGCCCTGTGATTGTAAGAGTGAAAATAATAGCCTCCTTCAGCTGGGTTCACATACTATGTTATTCTTAGGCTAACATGACATTATAACTGGGTTCACACAACAGACTCTCCTAACTCGCTTCACACCGTCTGGTAAGATCTGCAAACACAATTTTCAAGTAGGGTGTGACGTCTTATTTTAGCCCAGTTGCAGAAGAAGAATTGGGAGAGCTGGTGGAGGGGGGAGAATTAAACATGTTATCAGCCTAGAATTGTTACATTTCCACAAATGGCCTAAGAACAGCACCTCTTAAATTCCGTCAACCTTTATTTGGCATCTAGTTCGTTGACTAGATTCTTTGTGTGTCAGTTTGAGCAATAAATCTTCTGAAATGCAACTTTTTTTTTGGTATAGTCCTGATTCTTTGTGCCGGTGTAATAATGGTCTTAAAATTACAGGAAGGCTAATTCTAGCGGGAGTCAGAATAGACTTCCGAAAAAGGGGAGAGGAGTTTTTTTTAGTATGGAGCCTTTGACCCAAGCAATGAGTTGAAGGCCTTTTCTCTGGAGGCCCTTGGAGACCTACTCCTTGGAGAAGGAAGTGTTGGTTTCAGTCCTGCCCTGGTCCGAGGTCTGAATTGGATGGTTCCGAGATCCGTTTTCTTGTTGTTGTTTTTGAAGGAAGGGTTTGGCGTGCCGTCATTTGTGTCATGTCTAGCGGCTGTACCCGGGGCCGTCGCTATTTTCTATCCCAAAATAATCTCTTACAGGCACCGTGTTCGGAGGTTGTATGCTACTAAATTGTAAAGTTGGGCTCTCTGACTAGGTTTCCCTTGGTTGAGCGCTCTCTCTCTCTCTCTCTCTCTCTCTCTCTGTCTGTCTCCATCTTTCTTTCTCTCTCTCTTTCTCCCCACTTCTTCTCTCTCTTGTTCTTTCTCTTGTTCTCTCTCCCTCTATCTTTCTTTCTTCTTTCTTTCTTTCACATTCTTTCTCTCTGTTTCTCTTTCATTTCTTTCTCTCCCTTCCTCCCTTCCTCTCTCTCTCTTTCTTTCTTCTGTCTTTCACTTTCTTTCACTTTCTCTCTTTTTCTCTTTTCTCTTTCTTCTTTCTGTCTTTGTCTCTTTCTCTCCCTCCCTCCCTTTATCTTCTTTCTTTCTTTCTTTCTTTCTTTCTTTCTTTCTTTCTTTCTTTCTTTCTTTCTT